CTCTTCATCCTCTTCATCCTCTTCATCCTCTTCATCCTCTTCATCCTCTTCATCCTCTTCATCCTCTTCATCATCCTCTTCTTGCTCACCCCCGTTTTCATAGACATTATCACCATCTCCCGCAGTCTCATTATGGCATTCCATATCATAATCACCTACACATTTACTCCCTTCATTGTCATACTCCTCCTCATCCTGCTCCTCATCCTGCTCCTCCTCCTCCTCATCTTCCTCGTCCTGCTCCTCATCCTCATCCTCATCCTGCTCGTATAAACCTCTCGGCTCCAACATCTCAACACACGTCCCCCAAAAATGGTCCCTAGCACTAAAAAAAGTACCATATGGACATATATCAACCAAACATCCGAGAACGGATGGGCTGTTATCACAAAAACATTCAAAATCGGTATGGGACTCTTCACATGTTCGTGCCATATGATCAATGCAGGAGAGGAAACAAGCTGGTGGCGTAGAAACCACAAGCGACGCAACAAAGGTCAACGGAAGGATTACGGAGTTGAGCATTAGTTGAACCAATTTGTCTTTGTAAATGAAAGATGATAACAAGCAAGGATGCTTTTTCATTTGATCAATCTTGTTTCCAAACTCACGAGAAGTAATTACACAAAAACAAAACATCATTCCTATGCACTATGTACCTGTTGTCGTGGTTACAGTATGGTTACATGCGCGTGGCGCGTCATTGTGCACCAGCTGTCAACAACTGTAAAAAATGAGCTGGCAAAAAACAAGTGCTCCACGGCAGGTTCGAACTGTCGACCTTCAGATTATGAGACTGACGCTCTACCGACTGAGCTAGTGAAGCCACTTGACTGGAAAAAAATATCTCTGCTTTGTCTTGTGGATGGGCATTTTATGTTGCCATAGAAAGAGAATATATAGAATTGATGGACAATTTTAGACTGTGCTATACCTGATTACTCTACGTTTTCTGTTGATATTGGTTCTTCTGAATTCAGAAGCTATAGTGGTAAAGACTTTGTGAGATTGACCATCTCTTTGAATGATTCAGAGCACCCTTCGAATTTGCACTCTGGAGACTTTATTCCATTGTCCTCTGAAACCAACACCTGAACGGTGTATGAAGTATTGCACGATCTGAATTGTATCGAGCATCCTGAAATTATAGTCAGTGGGCAGTTGAAGTATATCCCCCAGAAGTAAAATTCAGCTGCGCATCTGCTTGTCAT